TAGAAGTATAAAGACAAACCTATTTATTTCCAATCGAATAACCGAAGAACTACTAGAATATTTAGAAATGATATATTGAAATAGAATAATTAGAAATATAGATACTACTATTAGTATTTAGAAATGATATACTGAAATAGAATAATTAAAAATATAAGGATAATATATTTATTATCTTATATTTATTTTTAATTAAATAATAGAAAGATTATTAGAAATTTATTTAAAAATGATATAGAATATTGAAATAGAATAATTATAAATATAACTACTAATATTTAGAAATGACTGAATAGAATATAATAGAATAGAATAATTAGAAATGTAAGGATAATTGACTCTTATTTAATTCCAATGAAAGAACTACTAGAATATTTGAAATAGAATAACTAGAAATATAACTATTAAAGTTAGTTAGTAATATTTAAAAATGATATATGAAAAATGTAATATTTAAAAATGATATATAAATGATATTGAAATAGAATAATTAGAGATATAAGGACAATCGACTCGTATTTATTTCCAAACGAATAAGAAAAGAACTATTATAACTAGTATTTAAAAAATAATATACTGAAATAGAATAATTAAAAATATAAGGATAATATATTTATTATCTATATTTATTTTTAATTAAATAATAGAAAGATTATTAGAAATTTATTTAAAAATGATATAGAATATTGAAATAGAATAATTATAAATATAACTACTAATATTTAGAAATGATTGAAATAGAATAATTAGAAATATAAGGATAATTGACTCTTATTTAATTCCAATGAAAGGACTACTAGAATATTTGAAATAGAATAACTAGAAATATAACTATTACTACTAATATTTAGAAATGATATACTGAAATAGAATAATTAGAAATATAACTATTACTAGTAGTATTTAAAAATAATATATTGAAATAGAATAATAGAATAATAGAAATTGACTTGTATTTATTTTTAATCAAATAATGAAAGGATTACTAGAGTATTTAGAAATAATATATTAAAATAGAATAATTTTAAATATAATTACTACTATTAGTATTTAGAAATGACTGAATAGAATATATTGGAATAGAATAATTAGAAATATAAGGATAATTGACTCTTATTTAATTCCAATGAAAGGACTACTAGAATATTTGAAATAGAATAACTAGAAATATAACTATTACTACTAATATTTAGAAATGATATACTGAAATAGAATAATTAGAAATATAACTATTACTACTAGTATTTAAAAATGATATACTGAAATAGAATAATTAGAAATATAAATCGACTCGTATTTATTTCCAATCGAATAACCGATATACCGATTTTCCGAATTGATTTCTTATAATATGGATGCAAAAGAAATAGATATAATTATGTTCAGGAACGATTATCATCGATCTGTCGAGGAAAGATTAACCGTTAGTTTTCGAATTGACAACGATAGATTGAATCCAAAGACCGTCCATTTATCTCTCGTGAGTGAACGAGTAGTCGATCATCTAACTTGTTTTCCTTACCTAGCTGGATTCAATCCCACGAACTTTATCGCGGTTAGAGAATCGATCTTCTAATAACGGAAGGTTGTTCCATCCGCGTTTGATCTTTTGAACATCACGTTCAAAATTTTGAATAGATTGAAGATGATGTCGAGTCGAAAAGTAATTTTTGTCGCAATTTAATGTAGCTAATTAATTATTATCGTTGTTATTCTCGTATGTAAATTGAACGAATGATTAATTCGCTTGTTAATTTTCCGCTATACAATGTGACAATCGATGATGTAATAAAATGTCTATATCAATTTCATTATTTCGTTAAGAGGATAATATTGATCGTGCAATTAATTGATAAATAAACCGTAGCAATAAATTAAAATGCCTGTATTCAGAAACTCAATTTCGTCGTTTTATATTTTTAATTATTAGATTTAGAAATAAAGTTTCTACTCCTTTGTATTTGATTTAATGGAAAACCAGAAAAATATTTTTTTATTCCTCTTCTCCTAACTACGACAAATTTTAAAACATTTTAATTTTCAAATCTTGTTATGGATTTCGCAAAAAATTTTTTCCTTTCAAATTTTCCATCTTTGAAGATTAAACTCATAGATTAAACTCAGAATTGTGAAAATAGAGATTACACGCTTTTTTTTAATGAAGTTCTTTTAAAATATCGTAATTTCTCATCGATCCTCTTACATTATGTCGTTCAATAGTTAAAATTTTTTTTAACTATTTTTTCTTCTAGCATTGAAAACTTTCATCAAAACATGATTTTGTGCTGCGGACAAACAATGCTACGAACGCAATATCCAGTATAATACACAATAATTGAACTGGTAACTGGTTCTTTGCCACTGTCTACAAAATCGTTTCACTTTCGCAACATTTCATCACTTTTCGCGAAATGAAATTTTCCACTAATAGAGAAAATTACAATACAAAATTACAATTGGAACTGAGAAATGAAACGAAGTTTAGAAAAAAAAAATAATAATAATAATAATAATAATAATTTGAATCCGAGGCTTCGATTTCCAACATCGAATAAAGTTTCCAATGGAGAACGCTTGTGCTCCGATGTTTTTCGATTTTCGTGGTTTCAAATCGTACGTAAACAGGGATGAAAAGAAAGAGGGTTAAAGGAGAGCGAGGAAAAGACACGAGACAGGTAAAAGGCTGCAAGCGGGAACTGAATGTAATATTTACACGTCTCGGTTTGATGATTTTTGCCCGGCTATGAAAGGAAAGGGAAAAATATGATAGGAATTACACACGTGAAGGTATGAAATACGTGGCGGAAAAGAGAGGAACGTTCTCGAAAAGACAGGAAATTGATGCTACGCGTATGTATGGGTGCATGCTTTTTGTTCTCGTACAAATGAAAAATTTTTTAAATCGAGTAATTTCTTAATCCCTTGATTACTGAGAATTTTACGATTTTTTTTTTTTTTTTCGATGAATTGTTCATTCAGCGACTGATCATTGATGTCCAATGATTGAAATCGAAAGGAAGTTTTAAAAAATATAATAAAATGGAAAAAATTTAATAGAAAAACGATTTTTAACTTATTTTCAATTAAATTAAATTAAGAGAATTAATTTAATATACTTTTCCGCAGTTTTTATTTTTGAAATCAAGTAATTTCTTAATCCCTTGATTACTAAAAATTTTATGATTTTTTTTTTTTTTTTTTGATGAATTGTTCATTCAGCGACTGATCATTGGTGTCCAATGATTGAAATCGAAAGGAAATTTTAAAAGATATAGTAAAATGGAAAAATTTTAATAGAAAAACAATTTTCAAATTATTTTCAATTAAATTAAATTAAGAGAATTAATTTAATATACATTTCTGCAGTTTTTATTTTTAAAGATTTTGCTATTTAATAAATTTTTGGAATCGAATAATTTTTTAATCCCTTGATTACTGAGAATTTTACGATTTTTCTCTTTTTTTTTTTCGATAAATTGTTCATTCAGCGACTGATCATTGGTGTCCAATGATTGAAATCGAAAAGAAATTTTAGAAAAAATGAAAAAATTTTAATTCACAGAAAAATTCACTTATTTTCATTTATGTACAATTTCATTTATATACAATTAAATTAAATTTTGTAATTTGTATTTTCGAAGATTTTGCTACTCGATATATTTTACAGTGAAAAAATAGATAGTAATTCTTTGATGTTTGGAATATGCCATTGTCATAGTGAAAAAACAACTTTTTTACAGTTCCTTTAATATAAAATTTTCAAAATTGCATACTATTTATTTAATTTTCCATTATCAATCCTTTGAAACAACATTACAAAATGATATATTATAACAATATTAATTCAAACAGTTTCTCTCGAATGATTCTCCATTACAAAAATAATTAACGATAATTTTCGAGCATCGATTATTCCCATAAAATTAAAAAAAAAGAAAAATAGAATCTATTAATTAGAAAAAATGAGCATACTATTTATCTCCTCCTCGTTGGATTGAGAATAAAAATCGACCCGTCCAATCGAAACGAATTTTTCATCCTCTGAACAATTATCCGATCCGAGGAGAAAACAACAGGTTGAAAACAAATTTGTAATTTGATTGCAAATCTGTTGCCCCGAATGAAAGTGGCGCCCTCTCGTTTCACGCGCTAAAAGCCGCCATAATTTGAAACTCGTACTATACTCGCCGACACAGAATTCATAATTTTCGAAATTATATATAACCGGTTGATAACGAACTCCTCCATGTCCGCCCATAGTCAAATGGGCCGACAACGACTGTCGATTACTCCCGCCACTGAAAAATCGATACGAAACAACGAAGCAACCGTGCTTGTCACGGGATTCAGAGCACGTTCTATTTGCTTTTCATTGTTCTATGAAATCATAAAACGGGAGATAGGAGGGGAGGGGAGAATGGGATGGGTGGGAATCACATTGCAACAGAGTGTGCGACGGTGTGAGCAACAACGTCAAAATAGCGTACACGCGATCTATCAACGTCGCGATGATAACTGTCCCGAATTTCTGCGTCTCCGAGCATTCAGACAAAACTCGTCGTCGTTAGTATTGCGCGAGAAACGCTCGCGAATGTGTAACAGCTGTGTTCCGCGCACGGAAATGCGGTAACCGTTCCGCTATATTCATATACAGGGTGTCCCGTTTAACTGGATGATTTGGATAGTCGAACGTTTCGTGAGAGATTGGAGTTAAGAGAAAGAAATATTTTGAAAATGTTTGGTTTGGTTTAATTGATTCAACTTAAGGTAATTTAAATAAATTTGCTATTTATATACCGGGTGTTTTGTTTGATTGGATTTGATCGACAGGATCGAATGTTTCGTGAACGATTGGAGTTAAGGGAAAGAAATTTTGACGAAAATGTTTTGATTGGTTTAATTTATTCAATTTGATAATTTAAATGATTTGCTATTTATATACAGGGTGTCCCGTTTGACTGGATGATTTGAACGGTCGAATGTTTCGTAAGAGATTGGAGTTAAAGAAAAGAAATGTTTTGACGAAAATGTTTTATTTGGTTTAATTAATTCAACTTAAGGTAATTTAAATAAATAAATTTATTTATATATCGGGTGTTCTGTTTGATTAGATTTGATAGAATCAAATGTTTTGTGAAGGATCGAAGTTAAGGGAAAGAAATGTTTTGACGAAAATGTTTGGTTTGATTTAATTGATTCAACTTAAGGTAATTTAAATAAATTTGCTATTTATATACCGGGTGTTCTGTTTGATTGGATTTGATCGACAGGATCGAATATTTCGTGAGGGATTGGAATTAAGGGAAAGAAATTTTGACGAAAATGTTTTGATTGGTTTAATTTATTCAATTTGATAATTTAAATGATTTGTTATTTATATACAGGGTGTCCCGTTTGACTGGATGATTTGAACGATCGAACTATTAATATACCGGGTGTTCTGTTTGATTGGATTTGATAGAATCGAATGTTTCGTGAGAGATCGAAGTTAAGAGAAAGAAATATTTTAATGAAAATTGTTTACCTTAATTGATCTAACTTAAAGTAATTTAAATAGTTCGCTATTTATATACAAGGTGTTCCATTTGATTGGATTTGATAGAATCATATATATAATGAGAAAATATTTTGACGGAAGTTGTTTGGTTTAATTCATCCAACTTAAAGTAATTTAAACGCTTTTTCTATTTATATACAAGGTGTTTAATTGGATTTGATAGAATCGAACGTAAGAGATTGAAGTTAAGGGAATGAAATGTTTTGATGGAAGTTATTTAGTTTAATTCATCCAACTTAAGATAATTTAAACGATTTTTCTATTTATATATAGAATGTTCCGTTTGATTGGATTTGACAGGATCGAATATTTCGTGAGAAAATGTTTTGACGGAATTATTTGGTTTAATTCATCCAACTTAAGGTAATTTAAATTTACTAATTTAAGTTTACTATTTATATATAAGGTGTTTCATTTAAGTGCTGAAGAGAAAGAAATATTTTGATAAAAATTGTTTGGTTCAATTAATTTAATCTAATCTAATTTAATCTAATTTAAACTAGTGTGGTATACTGAATATAATTAAAGATTAGAGATTGAAGTCAAAGAAAAAAATATTTTAGCAAAAATTGTTTTAATTAATTATTTAATTAATTAATTTAACTTAATACAAACTATTCATATACAAGACATTCCATGCAATTGGACGTGCTTGAAAAAGAACAAAGTTTGATTCAAAGAAAGATATATTGTGCAAATAATTATATTTATATTTATATTAAAATAGAGTATAATAATAGAAGATATTTAAAAGTTAATTTTACTTTTTTTTTAATATAATTATGAATCCATAATCGATTTATAAAAAAGTATTAACTTATTCATATAATATTGAATTAATATTATAGTACATTGTACATTGTATATGGGAAAAGATTTTCCAAATCTAATTGATTGGAATTAAATTTTCCTAAATGAGATCGACAATCCTTAAGAACTTTAGAACTGGATTATTTGGAATCCTAGATTGTCCTTTAACTGAATTCCTGATTTATGAACTTGTTTGAACTTTGACTGTCTGATGTTTTTCAATTATGAGTTTTGAAATCTTCTTTCGAAACCTTCGATCTCTTCAATTCCAATCGAAAAACTTCCAAAGTTTTTGATTGACAATTTTGTTAAAAGCAATCTAAATCAAAATCTCCATAATAACTCTCCTGAAGAATCCGATTGATTTAGGATTTTTCTTGCAAATCTTCTCATATTCTTCGATATATCAAATAAATTCAATTCTTTGTATCGTTGTTAAAGATATAAAATTTTCAATTATTTAATTATTAACAATCTCGAAAAAATTCCACAATTTTTAAAAAAAATGAAAGGATAAATTCATATCAATGATGAATCATGATAATAAGTGATGATAATAAGTTATGATAAATATTTAAGAACTGATAAATACTGATAAAAGATTTAAGAAACCATATGTTCTATTATTATTGAGAAAAAAAAAGGAAGTCTAATTATCAAATCAAAATAGATACAAATATTGACAAGGAACCAGTAAACAACTACTAATTCTCTGATTCTTTACAAAAGACTTTTATGGTAACAAAATTAAGTAACTAGATATTTTTCAGGTACAGTCAAGAGGTGCATAAAGTTAACACAATTTATCTATAATAATCCTTTTCGGATTTGAAAGTGCAATTACCACTTTATACAACATTATACCATAATCCACGCTTAAACCAAGTAATTCCTGACTTTCAACCCTCAACGTGTAATTTCTCTGGTAACGTTACACGATGAATTTGCATAACAAACGCGAAATATCAACTTGATCCGTGTTAATTACATAACAAGGTAAAAAAAAATTGAGTTCTGACAAACTCTTCCTTATGTATTCTTAGTCTATGTATATTTATGTATTATGCATGCTTGAAAAAATAATGTAAATATATTTTTAGAATCATCTCGCGTGAGTTCCAATAATAAAACAGATAATAATTTTTCGATTCAATAATTCATAAATCAATCCTTAATTTATGACTGCCATTTTGAGAGAAAATCGATTATCATAATTGTCGTTTTCATCATAATAATAATTTTAAATGATGACAGTATAGTGAATAAATTTAATTTTTTATAGTGTATAGAGAAACATCTCAAAATACAGAAAAATTTCAAGTTCTTACATAATGTATATGTAATAGAATTCTAGAGATCAAAGATTATTTGTTAAATCTCTGGTAAATAAGATTTATATTAAATAAAGTGAGATGGAGGCAGAAATCTGATTTTATCTAAACTATATAATTTTATATAAACTTAAATTGATTGTAACTTAAAAAATTCCAATTGACACTGGTCTACAAGTATATTAACTCTCTATACATATAATCAAAAATTAAAAAAATAATATTCACATATATTTGACTTAACCTAATCTGTCATATGTGATAGTGAAAATATCAAACTTCTATTATTTATTTCCTTTTTTTTAAATATAACTTTTGATACAAAAGACAAAATTTTAAACACACAAAATATTCACATATATATGACCTAATCTAACCTAACCTATAATATATGTGATAGTGAAAATATCAAACTTCTACTATTTATTTCCTTTTTTTTTTTAAATATAACTTTTGATACAAAAGATAAACTAAAATTTTAATACACGAAATATTCACATATATGTGACCTAACCTAACCTAACCTATAATATATGTGATAGTGAAAATATCACCCTTCCACTATTTATTTCCTTTTTTTTTAAATATAACTTTTTTTTAATACAAAAAACAAACTAAAAGTTTGAATACATAAAATATTCAAATTAATAATATTATTCATATAATTGTAAAAAATATGTTTAAATAATGAAAATATAAGAGTTGATTTCACGCGTTCAAATAGATTTTCCTTCGTACACACAAATTTTTATCAAAATTAAGAATTATTTTTTGAGTAAATTATCTTATAAGATAATCTAAGATGTATGTAGATTTTTGTGCGAATATATCAAAAATGGTGATCGCAAAAGAGGAGAAAATATTGGAAAAGACAGAAACGAGAAACGACAGAATTGCTGGTTCCTTGGAAACTCGAAGTTTCTACTGGTGCCACCGGTTTCTTGATCCTTCGAATATGCGATGGCGTCTACTTGAAAGACATTATTTAACTCCTTACGCGACGAAATCTGTTTCGCTGCAGATTGCTCTACGAAATATTACCCTTTGCGAAAGGGTGGCAATAAAATGACGCTATACTATACGCCCATGAAACTTTACGACTATCTTTGTCTTTCGATATTTTCAAAACGTCGCTTCTCCAATTTCCATTATACTGGAGGGTGGAAATAAAATGCAAATGAAAATGAACGAATGTTGTGATATTAAAGTAACGTTATTCGAAGTAATATTGTTAATAAACTCGAATTTCTTTTCTTTTTAACGTATCATCATATCCGAGTTTAGAGTAATAAATACTAATTCAATTTATTTATGAATATATTTATGAAAATATAATTCTTTTAGTATTCGTTTTAATTTAATTGTTTGATAAAAATAAAAATTTGTACACTTTTCTTTTTATATATAGGTTTTGTATATATAAAATATTAATAAAATTAATCGATTCAAAATTTGATATTGACTTATCAATTAATTTTTATACGCAATTCGTTTTTTTTTTATAATGAAACGATATTTGAGAATCTTTATTTCTTGAAGAAATTTCTTCGAACTTCGAAAACAAGGTATTTTATTTAAGATCCTCGATTTATTATTTCACGAAGAATTACTTTTAGATTCTACCACTAATAATAGATTACCCTTTATATATCACTATAAAGAAGTTTAAGACCATCTGCGACAGTACGTTTATCGGTCTTTCAATTTATAATTAAATTTTATCAAACTCTTCAAATTCTAATATTACAAAATCGAAATTCATTCATTTATCCATTTCAAAAATTGCGTCAAACTTCACATCAAACTTCCACAAACAAACTTGAAACGATATTTACAAAATAATCATAATACGTATCATAAAATTATATCGTTAAAAGTATTACTTAAAAGTTTCAGAAAAGGTGTTCACTTCATCCGCGACAAATTCAAACTCGGCCACACTTTGCATCTATCTCAAGAAAGGGATAGATGCAAACAAAGATGAACAAACGGTTTCCATTCCGAATGATGGAGACGCGGCAGAGGAAAGGAGACTTCTTTTCCACGTGGAAATTGTAATATAAAACTGTGCTGTAACATGATAGCGCCACAGTTCGCTCGGCTGTGTTAGCCCGCGATGGGATACTGCGCCGCGAACCGAGAATTTATGGAACATCGTGTCACGGTGTCGGAGTGGTAACAATAGAAATGAATGCGAGCCGTTCCACCGAACTGACTACAGTGCCGTTATTAAAGCCCAGCTTTTTATACCTGTAAAACGTTGGCAATACGTTGCGGATTTATCGCCACCACTGTTCCATTTTTATTCGTTTCCTTCAGAAGCGATAAATCGTCCTCAAAGAAACTCCGTGCTCACACCTCGAAACTTAATTACGACGCACCCTATCTCTCTCTCTCTCTCTCTCTCTTTCTCCCGTTCTAACAAGTTTTAAACTCGATTTTCTCGAAAACAAAACCACGTGTTAAAAAAAAAAATTTTATCCGTTAATGTAATGAGACTTGTTGATCGTTGCGAGACGAGATTTATTAGATAGCTGAGAATGAATGGAATAGTTTAATCAGCTATCAGAATATGAAGTTTAATTATTTTATAAAAAAAAAAAAATATTGTGCTATTATGTTAAAAATATAATATATTAGTTTGAGAAATATTTTAATTTTATAAAAAGTTTTACAAAATTCAAATTGAAATTAATATATTTTTGACACCAAGTAGATTATATTTATTTATAATAATACAAATTTGATCTTTATGTGTTTCTTATTATTCAATAATATAAAAACGTGCTTTCTTGAAGTCATTCAATTTTTATTTGAAAAATTTGAATGAAATTGTAATTGGATGGAATCTTTTAATAATTCTCTTCTTATTTAAAAATTACAAATTATTTTCAGGAATGAAAAGAATTGTTAATTTTTAATATTACAATGAAATGAAACTAGAACGTTGATTTTTTTCTCGGTCAGTCATTAATGATGGCCACTTTTGCAAGGAAAGGTGCCGCAAAAATTCAGTTGGTAAAGCGCTATAGAAAACTTGAATCGCTCTTTTCGTCAAGCGTGTGAAAGGATTTCCTGGAAATGCTCGATGTTTGGGTGTATCCGGTACAAGGTCTAGTTAATGGTAACCTCTAGATCCGCCGTGAGGAAGGATGGAATTTCTGTAACGTGTAAGTAAAGGAGCGAAAACCACACTTGAAAAGGATCTTAAAATTCTTAAAGCGAGATGAGAAGGATGTTCAAATGGCGAAGAGAACGAATGGATATATTGGCAATGCATATGAAATTTCGTTTCACTTGAGGTGCTAAATTTCATCTTGTTTCTAAAGAAAAAGAAATCCAATAAAAATTAAATAAGAAAGATTAAATGCAATATTATTATAGAAACTTAATTATTTATTTGTAATAAATAATATTTAATTTCAATATCAATTTTTAATATTATTTATTATGAGAAATTAATTGAAATGTAATTTGGAATAGAAAAATCCAAAACATAGATTTTGTGCTTAGAAATTAGTTTAAATTATAATAATTTAAAATTTTATTATTAGTTTTCAAATATAATAATTCATGACTTTTTAAAAATTTGCTTTCTAAACCTAAATTTTCAGCAAACAATAAATTTCTTCTACATAAATTTCATATAGATTTTATAAATTCTTCTTCAATAATTTACAATAATATAATTTTTATTTTTATTAATAAAATTTCTTATTACGCACAAATAATTTTGAACGAAAAAATTGGATTCAACTCAAATTTGTAACATAAGAACAATAAGAAGATAAGAAGATAAGAATTAAAATATTAAAAAAAATTAAAACTTCAAAGCCTTCATTAATTTTACAAAAAACTATTTTTTATATATTAAATTCGAAATAATCAAAAGTATGGATTTTATTCGCTAAATTATTAAAATATTAATACCAAGTTTCACTTAATTAAAAAAAATAATCCTACAATTTTTTCTTGCTAGTTACCAGTCACTTCAACACGTATGCTTAAAAACACTCGCGAACGACGGAAGGTTAAAGCAGTAATCGTTTTTCTTATCGCTTCCTCGACAATTTGCGACAGGTGACGGTGGCAAGACCGACGACAACGATACGTCGGACGTGCATCGAGTTCGGATGCACGCGGGACGAGCAAATTCCTCGTTCAACGTGGGTCGGACAGGAATATAATATCGCGACAAGAAAATACGTTACATCTCCCTCCCCTCCATTAAATTAAGCCTGGCTGTGAAATAAACGTTTCGAATGGAGTACGTTTCCATGCGTGTACGGCCAGGACTGGTCCGTTGCTACCTGCATATCCTATCAGGGATAATTGCTCTATTATGCTCGCGCGTTCATAAACTTGAGCGAATAATCGCGCTGGCTGGTTCGCAAGGATCGTGAACGTTTAACGTAGGCGCGAGATGGCGGGTACATCGCATACCAACCTTACTTACGAGCTTTAAAGAAAATTGACTGGATACGGTAAAATATTCCTCTCCTCTCGCAAAGGATGTTTCACATTAGGCGTATAATTTGGCTGATTTTGAAATTAGGTATTGTCGTTCAACATCGTTATTATATGGAAATCGATGTGTATTTTTTTTTTCTTTTGTGTAGAGTGTAGTGTGTATTTCGTTTTATAATAATTCTTGAAATATGGAAATTACTGTGTAAATTTTGGAAAACGCGTTGTGAAGTGAATAACGTGGCGTGCTACATTCTAAAAATGATCATATATATCATTATATTTTTTACGAGATATATATTTTGGGCGAATTTAAGAACATTTACAAATTATTGCACATCAATTAAACC